GGGATACGAATCTGGCCATTATTGGGTCTCTGGTTGGCCCAATTAGTTCCTCTCCCACGTCCTTCAGGAACTTAAGTACACACTTACCCCCAGGGTCTTGGAGCCTATGTCACGAACCTGTAACAATGTTCCAGGGCCCTGTACTTAGTTTTCTGGGTCTCCCTGAAGGTGGCATTATGTGTGACCGGATTGTGTGTGTGTGTGTGTGTGTGTGTGTGTGTGTGTGTGTGTGTGTGTGTGTGTGTGTGTGTGTGTGTGTGTGTGTGTGTGTGTGTGTGTGTGTACTCATCTAGTTGTACGTGCGGGGGTTGAGCTCTGGCTCTTTGGTCCCGCCTCTCAACTCTCAGTCAACTGGTGTACAGGTTCCTGAGCCTACTGGGCTCTATCATATCTACACTTGAAACTGTGTATGGAGTCAGCCTCCACCACATCACTGCCTAATGTATTCCATTTACTAAGTGCTCTAACAATGAAAAAAGTTCTTTCTAATATCTCTGTGGCTCATTTGGGCACTCAATTTCCACCTGTGTCCCCTTGTGCGTGTGCCCCTTGTGTTAAATAGTCTGTCTTTATCTACCCTATCAATTCCTTTGAGAATCTTGTATGTGATGATCATGTCCCCCCTAACTCTTCTGTGAGTTCCAGCGACGTGAGGTTTAATTCCCGTAGTCTCTCCTCGTAGCTCATACCCTTCAGTTTGGGTACTAGTCTGGTGGCATACCTTTGATTCTTTTATTTAATTATATATAAGTAGTTAAATGAAACTATCATGGTATTTTGTGTGTATAAAGTTCATGGCTAGAATGCACACTGAAATCACATTAACGTGATGTATCAACGAAAAAATCAATAGGAGCTTTGAGTAGGATTCGAACCCTCACACTTGGTACTCCCAAGCCCATAATCCTAAACCACTCCACCACGACTAGGTTAAAGCAATGTAACCTGGAACTGAACTGAATCCTCTAGGGGTCCTGAGGCTTCCATTGAAGCCCAATCAGCTTTTCACACAGTATCCCCCCTCCTCCCCACCACCATGCACTCCGGCTGTGGTTCAGAAATTCTACCTCCGATGCTCCTCTTCAAATGCCCGATGATATCACATTAATGTGCTGTGTATGGCTGATGTACGTGAGAGTGAGTGGCTGGGGTACACGGTAGAGGGCGTGTGTGTCCAGTGAGAGCAACTACCAGGACGAGAGAGAGAGAGAGAGAGAGAGAGAGAGAGAGAGAGAGAGAGAGAGAGAGAGAGAGAGAGAGAGAGAGAGAGAGAGAGAGAGAGAGAGAGAGAGAGAGAGAGAGAGAGAGAGAGAGAGAGAGAGAGAGAGAGAGAGAGAGAGAGAGAGAGAGAGAGAGAGAGAGAGAGGAGAGAGAGACAGAGAGAGAGAGAGAGAGAGAGACAGAGAGAGAGAGAGAGAGAGAGAGAGAGAGAGAGAGAGAGAGAGAGAGAGAGAGAGAGAGAGAGAGAGAGAGAGAGAGAGAGAGAGAGAGAGAGAGAGAGAGAGAGAGAGAGAGAGAGAGAGAGAGAGAGAGAGAGAGAGAGAGAGAGAGAGAGAGAGAGAGAGAGAGAGAGAGAGAGAGAGAGGAGAGAGAGAGGAGGAGAGAGAGAGAGAGAGAGAGAGATGAGGGAGAGACGACCAGACAGAGGTGAAGCTAGACCACGTGGGCAGGTATGCGAGAGAAAGCTGCTCGTGATAGACCCTAAGGAAAAGTGAGAAGGTTTTGTCTAGACTAAAGTGGACGCAGAATAGATTGATGATGGTGGTGATGATAATGAGGAAGATGTTTATGATAATGATAGTGAGGATGATGGTGGTAGAGGAGATAGTTGTGGAAGAGAAAGGGGCAAGATGGTTTAGGAGAGGGAAAGGGTGTGAAAAGTGGTTGAGAAGTAAGAGATAAGGGTAGGGAAGGAGGAGGTGGATCAAGATGGGAATAATTGGGAATGGGAATAATTTGTCAGAGGGGAGGGGAAAGATTAGGGAGAGGGGGAGGGGGAGAAGAAGGGTCTTCTACACCCAGCTAAGGGTCGTTTGTGATCATGGCTCACAGATAATCATCTTATCAAAAAGTTGAAACTCTGATCATGTCTTTATATAGCGGCCACACTTCTGGTGGAGATCTTGTAACCCATCACCACACCATTTCACACGTCTTCCTGTACATACGAAGATGTAACGCGCCTGTACCGTAACTGAAACAAATACAAACCCAACTCCCAATCTGTAGTTGAAGGAGGAATAGGTGCCCAACAGTTCTGGGCCATTATCACTCATGGTCCAAGATTGGCCCAAACATCATTCAATTAAATTTCCAATCGGGGGGGGGGGGGGTGTGAGAAGACAATGGAGACATACCTCTGGTGGGGAGCAGCAATTGCTGGGGACTGGGAAAGCATTTTGTCTCTACAAAGTTACTTGGAAATTTACTTTTGACTTCATTTATTCTTAATTGTTACTGTTTTTTCCCACTGAGTCCAAGACCTCATATTTTCTCAGTTCCCTTCTTAATATTTGTTCTTATTCTTACCTGTCACAACTTATGAAATAAGAATATTCAGAAAGGTAATTAATAATATTGTATATATATACACCTTGTGAAGCCATATGTGTGTGTACATGCTCCTGGTCCAGTGGTTCTGGAAAAATGTGTATGTTCCGTGTTGTCCACAGTGCTGATCTTCTTCACTTGTTCTGTGTTCTTCAGAAGACTACATTTATTCTGTTGGTGTTATCACTCCTCTCTGGAAATATACTCGGGCCTGACACTCGATTATATTTTTACCCAGGCCTATCACACTGTAATCAGATCAAGGGTATGATCCTAAGACCCTTATAATGTAAACAATACAAGCACCAGCAATTTACTGAGAGAGGAACACAAGTAAAGAATAAATTTATAATATTGGAACTTAAGAATTATTATATACAAAAATCTCCACTGGGCAACTACTTAAAACTACAATATAATTAACTTTATGGCTTGTTATAGTATCTTGCCTACTCACATATTATCAAATAAGTACTGAACAAAAGACTACATAACTTAACTAATAAATGATCCTTCGAGTTCCGTTTCCGCCACTGAGGTAGTCTTCACATGCACGCCTCTGGGCACCTCCCACAGAGTTACTAAACGTCTGATATAACGTTTAACCAACTCACAACATACAGAAGTAACCACTCAAATATATATAATCATACTATTATAATATTATATACAGTCTGAAAGGATATTAACCCCTAATGTAAAGTTAACTAAGAAATATAATAGCATTCACAAAAATATACACAAACTGGCAACATACAACCACCCGACAGCTTCTCACGTGAAAGCTACGTGTCTTAAACCCGTTCACTCAACCGGCAAGCTCATGATCACCTCATGCCGTGGGAATACAACATACAATACTGCCATTCACTATCATAAAGCACAATATAGCAGCCATACTAATATACATAATATGTAAATTTTCCCTCATATAAATCATACTTGACGAACTGAGATGCGATGAATATATTTTACCTACACTCTGTGAGAACCAATTAACTACTAGGCTCGTAACAGTTGGCCATAGTGCTCATCTTCCTAACCTGTTCTGTGTTCTTCTCTTGTATTTTCACTGCTATTTTTTTCCAGCATGGAAGTTGATGGTGGTAAATTGGGGTAGATTGTAGTGAGTGATGAGTAGAGGTTAGATGTTAGATTGTTAGTGATGAGACAGAAAAGAATGTCTACATAGATTGTAGACCACATCACTAACATCTACATAGATTGTAGATGTTAGTGATGGTGTAGATGGCAGCGATGATAACATATGGCAATGACCATGATAGATGGCAGTGATGGTGATAGAAGTAGGGGGAATGATGACTATGACCGACTTCTCCATTTTTAGGAGAATGGGAATCTTAAAATTGGGAATGGGAATCAGGAATGAGAATGGTTGTGGTTGCATAATGGTGCCTGACTACAACTGCAACCGCTCCCATTCTCGATTCCAAGATTCCTATTCTCCCAAAAAAATGAAGGAGTCGGTCGTAGTCATCAATTTCCCTACTAAAAGCTGGCAGTGATGATGTAGATGATAATTATGTGGTAGATGACAATGATGGTGATAGGTGACACTGAAGGGGTAGATGATAGTGATGATGATAGATTATGGTAATTATGACTGATGATTGTTATGTGATGATGACTGATGATTGTAATGTTGATGATGACAGATGGTAGTTATGGTGGTAGAGGGCAGCAGTGATGGTAGTAGATGATAGTGATGGTGGTAGAAAATAATGAAGGTAAATAGAATGATTACGGAGAGTGGGATGAGAATAATGATAAGCGTATGATGAACATGATAACTAAGGTGATGACGGTGGTGGCAATGATGGTGACAGTGACGATGGTGGTGGTGACAGTGACGACGGTGATCCAGGAGTGAATGTCAACCCCTGCCTTAACACTAACCTTAATCTCTTAATATTACATAATCATAAAATCCCTTAAGCTGCCAATATAAAATGATGTAGTATTGCCATAAATCAACTATATAAATTAAGCATGACATATTGTAGTTGCCATTTAACAGCAGCTCTGCATTTAGTCAAATCCTGATGCTTGCATTTTTAATTAGTGTATAATCTAGTTTATTAATAAGTTAATAAAGGTTGCAGTAGTGTAGAGAGTTAAGAGCACGGGTCATAGGAGGTGACCACAACGCTGACTTGACCTAAACGAAGATGAATCAGTGTGAAGAACTGACCCCCATCACCGACCTCAGTTGACCTCTCAGCTCACTTGGCATGTCTCGTTGTGGCTTCTTTTTACAGGGCAACCCACAACACGAAGTGCCCATGTCGTTGAATATCCCAAACTTAACACCTTTACTGTTGGCGGAGAGGTTACCGAACTGCTCAGCTCGGGTAAGTTGGCAACCTTGACAGGCGTACACAAGCACACACCTCTGGAGTGTTGGTAGCCCTGTGAAGTGTTTACGTGTGACGTAACCCAGGCCCTTCCTTCTCTGTACCTCTGCACACAGGATCAGCTTGAGCACGGCTGCTAGTTTATAGTTATAGCCTGATAGCCAAAATATAAATTTGCCATACTTCATTACCAATTGCATGAGATAAGCATGAAGACTGTGCAATGCCTTGTACACTGTGGATGCGTACGTTATTGTTGCAAACCCCAGCGGAGCAGCAGTGAAGCGGCGGACAGAAGGGAACCTCTAGAGCGTAGTGAAACAGGTAACAAAATGACCAGTGCAGTGTAGTCAACATAAGGGATATATATATATATATATATATAGTGTTGGACAGCACATAAGTGTGGGAGTAGACAATACTTTAATATATATAAGTCAAAACCAGCAACACCTGACTGCACCAGCATGTAATATCTCACACTCAGGCAGACACAGTAGAGATGACAGTGTGGAGAACTTTATAGTACTAAACAAAAGAGATTCGGGTGCGCGTCAACAAAGAAATGAGGACACGCATAAAAGAGAAGAACATTGTCGTAAAAAGGAATTACATTAAAAGATCTATTAATAATGATAAAGAATACCATAAAAACTTTATAATGTTCTTCAAAACTTTATATCATATAAAAGGGATTTTAGTAAAATTGATTGTTTATTAAAATTTTTAAATTCTTTAGCATAGGAGTGATGGGATAAAACATTTCTTCAGTGTAAGGGCAATAAACACGAGGAACCAACTAAAAGGGCAAACATAAGCAGTAGGATAAATCCACAGTTTTACAAACATAATAAACAAATATATAGGGTTCAAGAGTCACTGCATTAGACGACCGATAATTGGGTTAGGCGGGTCCCAAGAGCTGAAACTCGGTCCTGCAAACTCTGTTAGGTAAGAAATATCAGGCACAAACTCCCAGGCGCATGGTAAATATGTAAACATTTACAATAATATTTACAAACAAAACATTATCTTTCAACTCTTGTTGAGAAACAAATTTATGATTATATATCATTTTAGTATCCGTCTGTTGCTCAGTTCCTGCCTTATATTGGCCTGTTCAATAAGCTGTTCAGTTTACTCATTAACTATGTTCTGTTCACTTTGTTCAGTTAAATGTCTACCTTTCGTAATCAATTAATTTATCCCTCATTAGCTGGGTTAGAATTTCATATTTATTTTTTACCAATCTCATGCGTTGACGTCCATTTTTGACGAGGCTTCGTGTTCCTATGAAATTTGAAACTTGTCATATTGTCAGTGAAGAAAATCTTAAATTTCTCACTAAATAAGCACGTTGTCAAGCATGTGAGGAGTTATCATGTAGAGTTTATGAGTGCATGTTAGGAGTTATCATGCAGAGTTTATGAGTGCATGTTATAAGTTATCAAGCAGAGGTTATGAGTGCATGTGAGGAGTTATCAAGCAGAGTTTATGAGTGCATGTGAGGAGTTATCAAGCAGAGTTTATGAGTGCATGTTATCAGTTATCAAGCAGAAGTTATGAGTGCATGTTAGAAGTTGTAAAGCAGAGGTTACGAGTGCATGTGAGAAGTTATTGAGCAGAGTTTATGAGTGCATGTTAGGAGTTATCAAGCAGAGTTTATGAGTGCATGTGAGGAGTTATCAAGCAGAGTTTATGAGTGCATATTATGAGTTATCAAGCAGAGTTTATGAGTGCATGTGAGGAGTTATCAAGCAGAGTTTATGAGTGCATATTATGAGTTATCAAGCAGAGGTTATGAGTGCATGTGAGAAGTTATTGAGCAGAGTTTATGAGTGCATGTTAGGAGTTATCAAGCAGAGTTTATGAGTGCGTGTGAGGAGTTATCAAGCAGAGTTTATGAGTGCATATTATGAGTTATCAAGCAGAGTTTATGAGTGCATATTATGAGTTATCAAGCAGAGGTTATGAGTGCATGTGAGGAGTTATCAAGCAGAGGTTATGAGTGCATGTAAGAAGTTATCAAGCAGAGGTTATGAGTGCATATTATGAGTTATCAAGCAGAGGTTATGAGTGCATGTAAGAAGTTATCAAGCAGAGGTTATGAGTGCATGTTAGAAGTTATCAAGCAGAGGTTATGAGTGCATGTGAGGAGTTATCATGTTGAGTTTATGAGTGCATGTCAGAAGTTATCAAGCAGAGGTTATGAGTGCATGTGAGGAGTTATCAAGCAGAGGTTATGAGTGCATGTGAGGAGTTATCATGTAGAGTTTATGAGTGCATGTGAGGAGTTATCAAGCAGAGGTTATGAGTGCATGTGAGGAGTTATCAAGCAGAGGTTATGAGTGCATGTGAGAAGTTATCAAGCAGAGGTTATGAGTGCATGTGAGGAGTTATCAAACAGAGGTTATGAGTGCATGTGAGGAGTTATCAAGCTGAGGCTATTGAGTGCATGTCACGAGTCACCAAACATATTTACGAGTGCATGTTATGAGTCATCAAGCAATAGTTATGAGTGCATGTAATGAGTGTATTTCAGGGTGATGATGGTGACCTGTGTCACCATCACCACCCTCACTATGTGTCACCACAGCCCGTTCGCGAGCCGTGACACAGCGAGATGATCCAGAGGATGGAACAGTCACGTGACCCTCAGGGTTGACGTTGTAAAGTTGACATTTACTATGGCTAACATTAAGAATTAAATAAATAAAACATTCTGTAAAAAATCTTGTGATGTTACATATCCATTCTTATAAAATTCATGTCAATATCGTAAATATTAAACTCTTATACGAGCTACAGCTCCGATGTTTAGAGAGCAAAATGGAAATATTTAGCCTTATTGCATATTTCGTTTCTGTCCTATATACTAACCTGAGCCCCGTCTTTCAGTGGTGACGGTGTCGGCACAGCTCTCACCCGTCTACAACCCGAATGCCGGAGACGGGGAGCCTGCGGCGCCGCCCCCGTCAGTAGTGGAGGCGACGCCCGTGGTGGCGGTGGGCGCCCCGCCCTCTTCTGGAGTCGCCCTCTCGTCCGGCTTCGCCACCAAGACCGTCTACGGCTTCTTGGACTTCACTACGACCGTCGGCGACACCGTCATGGTCTTCACGCCGCAGAGTGAGAGTGCTAGTGAGTAGTCCTCCTCCTGCTGGGGTGAGGGAGACCTCCTGAGGGTAGAATGCCTTTGGTTTTTCATGGCCAAAGGGCTTGGTAAGAATGGGGAAGGAAGAAGAATGGAGAGTTGAAATTCTGGAAATAAAGGATGTGGATGGGGAACGAGGAGGATTGAAAGTTCGGTGGCCTGTCCATCATAGATTGGCGCTCGGTGATTGGTTTTAGAGATGATTGTGAGTAGTTTCCTAAACAGTTGGAGGCGGCGGTGGGTTAGGTGCTGCTCTCGTGCTTCTCTGTGTAGTGAAGTGTTGCCCTCAGTTTTGTTCCGCTCTAGTGCAGTTTTCCCTCTGAGTATGATAGAAAACGTTTAAAGTAAGAAAATACGTGAAAAGAATTGTTGGGGGTAACTTAAATATTTTAACCTGCAACGTTGGAAAAATGGAAATACTGTATTAATTTAATAAGTATTCATTGTGTTGGAGGACAGGCAGCCAGCGTATATATAAATATTAGGCTTATATCGAGATAATAACCAAGGTCGAATTACTGACCCTCGTCAGGATGTTACCCCACAAGAAGCTGACTAACTCCTGAGTATCTATTTCCTGCTGGGTGAATAGCTGCATTAGGTGAATGCCGCATCTAATCTTTTCTCTCCTACCTGGGATTTGACCCCGGAATTCCCGATTGTGAGTCGAGAACGACCTCGACTGTCCTACCGGAACCCTGCATATACTATAACGATCTCCAGTCACATGCAGTCATTTTGCTGAGAGCTTCCTCCTGTTTTTTTATGGCTTCATCAGTTTTCAGAAGGTTGTTTTCCTCACGGAGATCATTCAAGTCATGCTGTAGTTGGTCTTGGCCAGTCGGCTTTATTTATTTATTTATTTATTTATTTATTTATTTATTTATTTATTTATTTATTTATATACAAGAAGGTACATTGGGATTGTGAGGATACATAGCATGGTGTTTACATTCTTGTAAAGCCACTAGTACGCGCAGCGTTTCGGGCAGGTCCTTAATCTAAGAAAATTTTAAGTAGGTAAATACTTGCAAAATTTATAACAATGATAACAAGTACATAGCAAGAAAAAAATGGAAGATGAGAGAAATTTGTAGGTATATTAAAGCACATAGGTAGCTCAGATGGATTGCATTGACAGCTTGAATGGTAGTTTAACAAAACTTAGCAGGCACAATACAGCATATGGCTAGCACATAAAAGAAGACAGCAATGAACACAATGATAAAGTTATTTGGATTAAGTACATAAAGATTAGTAGATTAGGTAACCCTAGATACAGAGCAAATTTAAAGCTCACTGTAGGAAACTATGAAGATGAAATTAGGTACTTTTTGTTTTTGTTTTTGAATGAGGCAAAAGATTGACAGTTTTTCAATTCACTAGGGAGTGAGTTCCATAGACTAGGTCCCTTTATTTGCATAGAGTGTTTACAACAGATTAAGTTTGACCCTGGGGATATCAAAGAGATCTTTATTTCTGGTGTGAAGATAATGGGTCCTATTACATCTATCTAGCTGGCAGGTTATGAGGTCTTAAGATGCTGGCAGGTTATGAGGTCTTAAGATGCTGGCAGTTTATGAGATCTTAAGATGCTGGCAGTTTATGAGATCTTAAGATGCTGGCAGTTTATGAGGTCTTAAGATGCTGGCAGGTTATGAGGTCTTAAGATGCTGGCAGTTTATGAGATCTTAAGATGCTGGCAGGTTATGAGGTCTTAAGATGCTGGCAGGTTATGAGATCTTAAGATGCTGGCAGGTTATGAGGTCTTAAGATGCTGGCAGGTTATGAGGTCTTAAGATGCTGGCAGGTTATGAGGTCTTAAGATGCTGGCAGGTTATGAGGTCTTAAGATGCTGGCAGTTTAAGAGGTCTTAAGATGCTGGCAGTTTATGAGGTCTTAAGATGCTGGCAGGTTATGAGGTCTTAAGACGCTGGCAGTTTATGAGGTCTTAAGATGCTGGCAGGTTATGAGGTCTTAAGATGCTGGCAGGTTATGAGGTCTTAAGATGCGGGCAGGTTATGGGGTCTTAAGATGCTGGCAGTTTTATGGGGTTTTAAGAGCGCTACTCTTCGTGAGATCTGGGGAGGAAGTCAACTCATAAGGTCTTAAAAGGGCTTCTGCTTTTGATATTTCATGAGGGATGCTGTTTATGAGGTCTCGTGAGGACCGTCTTCATATATTATTCCATTTAGGAAAAACACTTTCTTTGGCTTCAGCGAAATATCTCACATTTCCACTTTCTTCGTCTTACATAAAGCATAAAGACTTACATCTTACATAAAGACTTACATCTTACATAAAGCATAAAGTCTTACATCTTACATAAAGCATAAAGACTTACATGTTACATAAAGCATAAAGTCTTACATCTTACATAAAGTCTTACATCTTACATAAAGCATAAAGACTTACATCTTACATAAAGACTTACATCTTACATAAAGCATAAAGTCTTACATCTTACATAAAGCATAAAGTCTTACATCTTACATAAAGTCTTACATCTTACATAAAGCATAAAGACTTACATCTTACATAAAGTCTTACATCTTACATAAAGCATAAAGTCTTACATCTTACATAAAGCATAAAGACTTACATGTTACATAAAGCATAAAGACTTACATCTTACATAAAGCATAAAGACTTACATCTTACATAAAGCATAAAGACTTACATCTTACATAAAGCATAAAGACTTACATCTTACATAAAGACTTACATCTTACATAAAGCATAAAGTCTTACATCTTACATAAAGACTTACATCTTACATAAAGACTTACATCTTACATAAAGCATAAAGACTTACATCTTACATAAAGCATAAAGTCTTACATCTTACATAATGCATAAAGACTTACATCTTACATAAAGCATAAAAGACTTACATCTTACATAAAGCATAAAAGACTTACATCTTACATAAAGACTTACATCTTACATAAAGCATAAAAGACTTACATCTTACATAAAGCATAAAAGACTTACATCTTACATAAATCATAAAGACTTACATCTTACATAAAGACTTACATCTTACATAAAGCATAAAAGACTTACATCTTACATAAAGCATAAAAGACTTACATCTTACATAAAGCATAAAGACTTACATCTTACATAAAGCATAAAAGACTTACATCTTACATAAAGTCTTACATCTTACATAAAGCATACAAGACTTACATCTTACATAAAGACTTACATCTTACATAAAGCATAAAAGACTTACATCTTACATAAAGCATAAAGACTTACATCTTACATAAAGCATAAAAGACTTACATCTTACATAAAGCATAAAAGACTTACATCTTACATAAAGACTTACATCTTACATAAAGACTTACATCTTACATAAAGCATAAAAGACTTACATCTTACATAAAGCATAAAAGACTTACATCTTACATAAAGCATAAAGACTTACATCTTACATAAAGCATAAAAGACTTACATCTTACATAAAGCATCTTACATCTTACATAAAGCATAAAAGACTTACATCTTACATAAAGCATAAAAGACTTACATCTTACATAAAGTCTTACATCTTACATAAAGCATAAAGACTTACATCTTACATAAAGCATAAAAGACTTACATCTTACATAAAGCATAAAAGACTTACATCTTACATAAAGACTTACATCTTACATAAAGCATAAAGACTTACATCTTACATAAAGCATAAAGACTTACATCTTACATAAAGACTTACATCTTACATAAAGCATAAAGCATAATGACTTACATCTTACATAAAGACTTACATCTTACATAAAGCATAAAGACTTACATCTTACATAAAGCATAATGACTTACATCTTACATAAAGACTTACATCTTACATAAAGCATAAAGTCTTACATCTTACATAAAGCATAAAGTCTTACATCTTACATAAAGCATAAAAGACTTACATCTTACATAAAGCATAATGACTTACATCTTACATAAAGACTTACATCTTACATAAAGCATAAAGCATAATGACTTACATCTTACATAAAGTCTTACATCTTACATAAAGCATAAAGTCTTACATCTTACATAAAGCATAAAAGACTTACATCTTACATAAAGCATAATGACTTACATCTTACATAAAGACTTACATCTTACATAAAGCATAAAGCATAATGACTTACATCTTACATAAAGACTTACATCTTACATAAAGCATAAAGACTTACATCTTACATAAAGCATAAAAGACTTACATCTTACGTAAAAAACTTACATCTTACATAAAAACATAAAGACGAAAGCGGGCATCTTCCCGCTATCCATTTCATGTTTAATTTAAATGCTAACATTAAAATACAAACTTTGATAAACGATATAATTTATTTATGAGATAAAGCCTTGTGACATTTTTTACTTAGATAATTCAAATCTTTCTGCATCAAGGTTAAAAATAATTTGTTATGGTTATCTTATAATAATTTGTATATTCAGAGTTTACAGGAAAATCTTCACTAATCTGATCATTAAGATCATGTCCAAATGAGCTTATTAGATTAGTGATTAGCTCAACTAGGTCTTAGCCATCTATAATTTAGAACTAACTGTAACAAAAGTTTCATATTTTTCTTATTAAATCTTACAAGAAAGAGTGAGACACAGTGTCAGCTTTACAGTCTTTCAAGTTCATTTAACTTATATACTATTTGCTAAACTACGCATTTTTTTTGACAGAATCCAAGCCGAGCAAGAGCCGGATAGCGTCTCAGTCAACGCGAACGTCAGTAAGCTCCCGGACATCTCAGGCCCGACCGCCAAGCAACGCCCCGCCGGTCTCACCGTTCGCGCTCTCACCAACGCCCACGTTACCAAGGCTGAAGGCAACGGCCGCGCCCTCCACACACCTCCCGAAGCCCTCCACCTTCCCTTCCTCCACCCTCGAGTCCTCATTCTTTGATCCACACACGACTCTGGCTATCGAGGATCTCTTTTCCGTTGCCCCTAAAATGGAAGTGGTCGAAGCAGTTTTTGCAATCCCTGGAGACGAATACCAGTACGAGCAACTGCCTGAAGAGGAGGAGGAAGAAGAGAAATTGATAAAGGAATCCAATGCTTTCAAACGGCATTCTCCCTTCCGTCGTCCCCAGGAGACCTCAGACACGACCGGTGCTCGTCGGCGACTTGATCTTAACTTCTTCGCAAACCGTAAGAAGTCAGATGTTCCAAGAAGGTCCTTTGGGGGCTCCACGATCGTGCCCATCACTGTCGAGGGAACCGGTAGACTAGAGCAGAAAACCAAAGTTATACCTCAGCTGCCGCAGTCTCCAGTCTTCATCACAACACCTTCAGAGGTTATTGTGAGTGCCACTCAAGGCTTCGCCTCACTCAGTATTATAGGTCCTTTTACCACGGCTGTCAACAACGAGCTGGGACAAGTCATCGAGCACTATGATTTCCTGTCATCGGCTCCTACCTTAGACGTTCAAGAGTCCTACGACGTGTTCGAAGTTGAGCCAACTGCCCACGAGGACCTCCGCAGCGCCAGTCTGGTCGAGAACGACGCCAGCTTCCCCACAGGCCTCGTCACCAAGATAGGAGGCACCATCATTTCGGATGGCCTCACTACTGTACATGAAACGAGCGTCCTCGGCACCTACATTGAAGGCCAATATGCTCAAGTCCTTCTGAGTACCTCACGTATTTTCCAAACATCGGTATCTTTAAAGTCCAATGTCAGAAGTTCTTTCCCGTCACTTGACTACGAGACTGTGAAATCCGTCATCAAAGGCTCAGCCACACAATTTATCACACCAGAGCCCACATCTGCCCTACCACTCGAGTCCCTCTTCTCTGCGCCAACGGGTAGAAGCCGTGATAGTCGCAGAAGCGATGACGATGCCACCATTCAGTCACGCATGAGGTCTGCTTTGACTAAGCGTCGGGGCGCTCAAGACTCTGTGTCTCGCTCTCGTCCCCAGCCTGTGCACGACCCATACGTGGACGAGGAAGAAGATCAAGACTTGCAAAGGGCAGGATCAAACTTGCGTCCATCCTACAGGTTTCAGCAATCAAAGACTGTAAAAACACCAGTCGCCAGTACCATTTATGCTCAGTCACCGAAGCCGACGACTTTCAGACCACGCTACAAGGCGTCCGCCACCAGGCGCCAAAGTGGTGGCCGCACAAGCACTTTCCGTCCTACACCTTCGAGCAGCAAGCGTCAGGGCAGACCCACAAACCGCTGGCGTCTGGGGACCACCCCAAGACCCAAGGTTAATGTCAGACGTCCGCTCAGTCCTCCTGACGCGTACGAAAAGGAACAAACTGTTGAGGAAAGTCACACTGAGCCAGTCATCCAACCAACACCAGAGAAGCCCGACGCAATAGAGGAGACTCTACGTATAGTGACCAGCACGCTCGCAGACGGTCCGACCGACGCGTATTTCGAAGTGGCGACGATCCGTTCTCTTCACACGTTCCGGGTGGGCACCACCAAGAACACTCGCTTCGTCACCTTCACCAAGACCATCAGTCACAACATACCGACCACGCCAGAACCGACCACGCCCGAACCGACGCTTACCCAGGACGATCTCTACGAGACGCCGCTGTTTGAAAACATCCTGGACGATGGCCCCCGCGACGTGTCGACGCTTCCCCCTGTCGACATCGGGTCCAACGACATCTCAGCAGTGCTGGAAACAGTAACGGAGACCTTCAGCACCACAGAAATTATTAAAAAGACGTCCGTGCTGCCGGTGTTGCAGAACGGAGACACCTTCTACCACACTCTCACTCAGACATACCACATTACCCGTGTCGTCACCGCTCTCAAAACTATGCCGCCCTACGAGGCTTTCTCCTTCATTCCGGAGAACTCACTCAATGAGTTCAACGGTCAGTTGTTAGCTGAGGGCACAGAAAATGACGAAGCGCTGCTGCCAGGTGAAGTCGAGTACGATGAGAATGGTGAAATTGTGGAAAGGAAAAGTGAGACTCGCGTTCGACCACCTCCAGGTTTCTCTCTCCAGGACCCCAATCTCGCTGAGCTGGCGGGTGGAGAGTTTAACCCTGATGTCTTTGAGAAACAGTTGCATCCTCAGCTAGCGGCTGCACTTGAACAGCGCCAGCAGCAACCGCAGCAGCAACCGCAGCAGGAGAGCAGTGCTCCACCTCAGTTGGCGCCAGGGCAACTTCCCGCACCATTAGGGCCAGCCCTGCCAACCCCAGGGCTGACGCCTGAGCAGCTGCAGCAGCTGGCTTACCTGCGACTCATGAACCCTTTCCTATTCGGGGGGTTACCTTCCGTCCAGCCTCAAACGACGATCACGTCCTCGCCCGTCACCATCACCACCGACCTCACCACAACCTCCACACGCGTCTTCAGAGTGATCTTAAACGCGCGACCCATCATGACCACCATCAGCAGCGTGGAGGTCGTCCACACCACCCTTACGACCTACTCTACCACCACCATCACAGTCACCCCTACTGTCTCTCCGTTTTCCTTTCCCTTCGCCCCATCTCCATTCCAAGTTGGGTAAATCCTCCTCTTCCAGGCAGTCCCTTCCACCTGTCTCACAACAGATGGAGTGTGAAGTGACCAATCCTGGCCTCCTCTGTCACTCCTTTCATCCCGCCGAGTGCTGGTCACTCTGCCTCTACTCTCTACTAACACTTTTCACCCTTAGCCACAGCACATTTCACCCCTAGCACTTTTCACCCCTAGCCACAGTACCTTTCACCCCTAGCCACAGTACCTTTCACCCCTAGCCACAGCACCTTTCACCCCTAGCCACAGCACCTTTCACCCCTAGCCACAGCACCTTTCACCCCTAGCCACAGCACCTTTCACCCCTAGCCACAGCACCTTTCACCCCTAGCCACAGCACCTTTCACCCCTAGCCACAGCACCTTTCACCCCTAGCCACAGCACCTTTCACCCCTAGCCACAGCACCTTTCACCCCTAGCCACAGCACCTTTCACCACTAACCACAACACCCTCCACTACCTCTTCACCTGTCCCAGCACCCTCCCACCCCTTCCTCATCAGGTTGCAGCCTCGTGTACTGACGTATTACTGTCCCAGCCACCGCTCTCACCCTCCCACTGCTCTAGGGTGCAGTAGGAGGGGCCGCCCCGCCAAGAAAATTAAGAAACTAAAAAGCACAAAATAGGGGAAACAGCCTATATGCCTGCCAATAGGCGTAAAGGTAGCGTGTGTCCTTGAATTAACGTAACGTATCCTAGGCCTAACATTTATTATGCAAGCACTTTATTAGGCTTAGGATTCATCATAGGCTGTTTGTTTTGTTTGTTTTTTGTATTTCTTGCATATACTTCTGGTTTCCACTTCGGAAATAGTACAAAATGTGGACTGTTTTCTATGTGAAACAGTGCATGTTGTGTACATATGGCTCAGTCGCTACGTACACTGTCACTCTGGTGTCAGATTGACGAAGCAGTTACGCAAGTACTTACGAACGTGTACATCTTTCCACAATCTATTACGGCTTTGGTTACATTTATTAAACAGTTTACAAGAATGAAAACTTGCCAATCAACTGTTGCTATTGTTATAAACATCCTCCTGGTGCTTCGGAGCTCATTAACTGTTTAATAATTGTAAACACAGCCGCCAAAGATTGAGAAAAGATGTTCAGGTTCGTAAGTGCTTGCGTAACTGCTTTGTGAATTGGAGGATGGGTTGATAAACTGGGAATGTGATCGTACATAGCAATGAGACGCCACTTACCTGCTGGTCGTACCCAGCGTGCCTTGATGTGGCAGCGGGAAGGCAGGAGACCGACTTGTAGCATACCTGGAGTATACCTGGAGCATACCTGGAGTATACCTGGGGCATACCTGGAGTATACCTGGGACATACCTGGAGTATACCTGGAGCATACCGATGGGAGGATACATCACTGGTGGTAATACTAAGCTTCACCTGTCACAGTATACCATTGAATAATATAAAAAAAAGAGAATGTGACGTTTTATACCGAGCGTCACCAGGAGGTGGTGAGAGGGGAGACTGTGGCGTTTTGCACCAACTGCGTCAACCACTTACTGTTCACCACTTATGAACAACCACTTACTGTTCACCAAACAATGACACACTACCGGCTAGACAACAGAGGGCAGAGGTCCACAGGAGACGAATGCGGTCATGGCAATCATAAGTGCTGATAGATAGTTGATTTTCTTCATATTTCTTCTTTCAGAACACTAACTTTTTTTGTTTGTCCTCCTTGTTCTCATCCGTCATGTCAACTCCTGTAATGTTGCGGCATTTCGAAACTGTGTTCCAAGACATGAAGCGTTAAGCACACGTCGACGTGTTCTTCACCGTGTCTAGAACACTTTCACGTGTTCTTCATCGTGTCTAGAACACGACAAATTGTTTTATTATGTCTGGAACACTTTAACATGGACTTCACTATGTCTAGAACAGTTCCAGTCTGTTCTTCATCAAATCTAGAACTCTTCCTTCCATCTCATCGTCATGTCTAAACACTTCGTCTGTTCTTCATCCGGCCTAATGCAGTTCCAACTGTTATTGGTGTTGTCTAGAACACTTACAGTATGTTCTTTACATTGCCAAGAACACTTACAATATGTTCTTTACATAACCAAGAACATTTACAGTATGTTCTTTACATAGCCAAGAACAATTTCACATGTTCTTCATTATGGCAAGAACACTTCCATATGTTCTTCATTATGCCAAGAACACTTTCACATGTTCTTCATTATGTCAAGAACACACTTCCAGCCTGTTCATCATCATGTCTAGAACAAACCCAAACTTACACAATATGTGTATTTCACATATTGTTGATGTATCCTTACTGTATCCTCTCGGAGCACAGATTTGAGATAAATATGTATTATATGTTACTAGTGAATATGTAAAAAAAAACAAAAAAAATTAATATATATATTTATATAATGTATATAAAGAGAGAGCTGGAAATATGTTAAGAAAGGAGAGTATTCTCTTCGAGTCCCTTATATACCTCACCTGAGGTAAGTACACCTCACCTGAGGTAAGTACACCTCACCTGAGGTAAGTACACCTCACGTGAGGTAAGTACACCTCACCTGAGGTAAGTACACCTCACCTGAGGTAAGTACACCTCACCTGAGGTAAGTACACCTCACCTGAGGTAAGTACACCTCACCTGAGGTAAGTACACCTCACCTGAGGTAAGTACACCTCACCTGAGGTAAGTACACCTCACCTGAGGTAAGTACACCTCACCTGAGGTAAGTACACCTCACCTGAGGTAAGTACACCTCACCTGAGGTAAGTACACCTCACCTGAGGTAAGTACACCTCAGCTGAGGTAAATATACCTCAGCTGCCAATTGTGTATTTTACTGCCGTATATATATTTCCGTGCCTGTGATTGGTCCATTCATTTATTTATATGGCCAATAAGGAGGAGGTGGTAAACAGTATTTTGGATGGTCTCAGTTGAGGTGTAAACACAACTTACAGCAGGGATTCCACTTGTAAATAGATGTAAATATATTTAGCTGATCCTAATTGTCCTATATTTTTTCATTTTCTTACACCGTGATCCTGCTAATAAACGTTTGTATTAGAGAGACGTTTTATTTTCCATCCTAATGTGTATATATATATATATATATATGTCGTATATATCACTTCTCATATATATATATATATATATATATATATATATATATATATATATATATATATATATATATATGTATATATCTTAAGAAAACTATAAGATAAACATCGTCTTCAGTTTTTTAAAATAACAAACGTTTTAGGCTCGTAGCTCCATCATCTTGGCTAAAATAAAAACAGAAACATATATTGCAAGATTAGCTAAAAAATCAATATATAGCTCACAATTATTTACTCATTAAATGAATTAAAATGACTCAAATTAAAACCTAAAAAAATGAACTACATACAAAATATAGGACAAAGATATATATACACAAGAAAGAAGAATAATCTTGAAAACTTGTCAACACGACGACAATTATGTAAACAACACAGACGAGGACTTCGGAGTCATTCAATTAACGTCTCACTAGTGATTGAGATACTTTCCAAGGTGTTGAGCTGGACGAACTGGAGAACGGCTCAGTACTGGGAAATCGCTGTGAGTGGAAGGGATCGCCCCTGATCCTCGCAGTGATCGTTAATAGCACAGGAATAGCACATTGCCTAAGGGGCAGATCAGTAAGGTAAGAGATACCCATGTCCTCATAAATCGGTTTTTAACACATTAGAATTCACAGAGGTGATATGCCATGTATCGTGATTTCTATGTAGCCGGTTCAACACCAGGGAACAGATTAACGAAGCAGTTACGCAAGTACTTACGAACGTGTACATTTTTCCTCAATCTTTGACGGCTTTGGTTACATTTATTAAACAGTTTACAATCATGAAAACTTTCTATTCAACTGTTGTTATTGTTATTAACAGCCTCCTGGTGCTTCGGAGCTCATTAACTGTTTAATAATTGTAAACAAAGCCGCCAAAGATTGAGAAAAGATGTACTGGTTCGTAAGTGTTTGCGTAACTGCTTCGTGAATCTGGCGCCTGGCTGCCTTTATGGTCTTCCAAAAAATCCTAAATAGGGTTGTCCAATTAGGCCTATAGTTTCATATATTAATACTTTAAACTATAAATTACTCAAATATTTAGTGCCAATTTTAGTACCTTTCACTGCAAATTATACAATTGAGAATGCTTCTCAGTTTGCTCAAGGAATTGTGGCCCTAAAATGAATGGAATGGAATTATCAGGAGAAAGCGCCACGCCAATGTGACTATATAAGTAATTCAGTTGTTACGGTGAATGTGAACGTTGTATGTTTATTAATAAATGTCCCACTTGTAGAGAAACTATTAAATTCGAGATCCGAAATTTAGATTTGAGATACAAATCTCAAAACGGACCAATTATTAAGAACATTCTTCTAAATACACCTTAATTATGCGGGAGCATTAATCAAAGAACATGTATGTATGTTCATTTAATTTCCAGTGTTGGTCTAACATTACAATACATTCAATAGAAATACAAAGTGTCTATCAAACTATTAAGGTACATATATTAACTCTAACAAACACTTATTTTTACTAAAAAATATACAAACGTGACTGCATACTGATCACCTGGCAATACAGACGAGCAGGTATTGCTTGCCTGTATTGCAATGATGTGCTAGATATTGCAATAGTGTAACCTATTTTGCACGAAAGGAGTTCAACACACCATAAACCGCTGGTGGTTGATGTTCTGTACGTCTGCTGCGTTTAAAGTGAACATTCGTGTGTATTGTTCAGCCTGGGCCCAGATTACTGCCACCAACACTCTTAACCTCTCACTGTATCTGTAAACGCGGCCGGATAGGACCTCGCAGTGTATCCGTAGACGTAGCCGGATAGGGGACGAGTGTACTCCTATCGTAGTGTACTCTCAGGTGGTCGCTGGGCCTGGGATGGAGGGACGTCAGTGTACCGTGGTGAAGTCAGTATATCCTGGGCCTGGGATGGAGGGACGTCAGTGTAGCGTGGTGAAGTCAGTATATCCAGGGCCTGGGATGGATGGACGTCAGTGTACCGTGGTGAAGTCAGTATATCCTGGGCCTGGGCTGGAGGGACCTCAGTGGTTCCTGGGCTTGACTCGTAGAGTGACACTGGTGAGAACGAGAGGAACTTTCCTGCCGTTCTCGTGAGCCCACCAGGTGATGAACGAGGCGTTCTGACGGTCGGGCGTCGCTGGAAACACTCCATTCAAGTGGGCGTCGTAGCACCTGAGGGAATAGACGAAACAGAGTCAGTTTTGAACGTAATACTGGAGTCACTCTGGCGCGTTGGTGTTCTGCCGTGCAACTTTGCAACCCGTCCTCTTGTTTAAGTGCACCGTATCATCCACGTGTCCACGTATACCAACCCGTCCACCTGCGGAGTCCCACAGGGCTCTGTACTTGGATCTGTCCAAGTACAGAGCCTGTCCAAGTGCTGATCTTGGACCTGTCCAAGAACAGAACTTGACTTGTCTAAGAACAGAGCCCAGCAGTATTTACCCATTTTAAAACACTTTGGCGCTTTCCAGCAGACCGGCGTTGTCACCAATATTATTAATCACACCGCACGCGTGCCACTCTCGGGAGTCACTAGCAAAAATATTTGTATAAAATCCATTTATTATCCGATCAACTTGGGAATAATTTACAAATGTTTGCCATGAAATTTACGTGTTCTCTAATAGCCGAACAGCTTATAAAAGAAAACGGCGTGACAGTGAATCATCGTGGTAAAACAATTGTATTATTGACACGACGAGTGTAATCGACGTAGTTTTTATATATGTTGCCGGTCGAACGCATCCTTATGTGACCTTTAATACTTATGTTCTTATATAACATTCTATTGCGAGCACATTGGTACAAAAATGAAATACATACATCGACAAATAATGTCAGGACAGTGAATTGAATATACACTTTTCAAAGCGAGTTTCGCCGATATGCCGCCGCGGGTAACACTTCGGCCACTTCCCACACTGTTTTGGGTAAGCTACGACATTGAATCTATATTTATATGCATATGTCCGTGTAGAGAATTTTATTGCGATTCCAATGATACCACAATTAGCGATGTAGGACAACTGTAGGCTTCGCAACCATTAAGAGAGTGGAAACATTTTGTTGCTGTTTGGCGCTCTCGGCTAGTGATCTGAATAGTTTTTATTTGGTGTTGATAATCCTTATGCTTTGGCGGCATTTTATAGATATGTTCTTATAGACAATTTTATTGCGAACACAGTGATACCAAATTTAAATACGTGCGCCTTCAATTATTGTCAGGACAGTCAAAAGAGTGTACACTTTTTCGGTCTTACCGCGTAGGCGCGCGAAGCGCGGAAAGCATCTAGGGTATGCTTTTTTTTTGAACGCCGAGAGCGGGAAAGTGTGATAATACTAATCGAGTAAAAATATCCTGGTGAATGAGAAATGTGAATTTATTGTAAAAGTTATTTATTACCAAATCGTGAAAAATAGAGCCCGCAGAGTAGGAGCTCTGTGCAAACAAACATTTTTTAATCCTCATTAATTGAATTAGGTCATTGGTCTTCAGTGGCATAGAGATTCAGTGTTTAATTCTTAATTAAATGAGGAGAAGTGTATCGGATTTGGTAATCCAGTGACCTGGAGATGTTGACATGTACTTAAGATGGTCTCTGGGGTGACTGGGTGTTGATGTGGGTGTCTTGGTTGACCAGAGTCTGGAGGGAGGCTTACCAAGGCGCCTCCTCCACTCTCACCCACCCAAAGTCTGCCCATAGAGGAAGGTCATTCCGCTGTCATGACCCCGTGACTCACCGTGGACCCCAATGACTCACTGTAGACCCCAAGAACTCACCATTGACCACCAATGACTCACCGTAGACCCCCCATAACTCACCATAGACCCCCCATAACTCACCATGGACCCCCAAGACTCACCGTGGTCCCCCAATAACTCACCGTAGATCCCCATAACTCACCGTAGACCCCCATGACTCACCTGTCGTACCACCAGGCACCAGAGAAGTAGGTAGCACAGTTGCCGTCCTTATAGAGGTCGTTGTCACGGTCGTTGGAGGTGAAGGGTCGTCCGTGGTGGTACGTGAAGGCGTCCGTGGCGTTGCCGGAGTAGTTGCCCACGTCCAGCACGTAGCCCGAGCTCTCACTACCCACACGAAACGTGCTGGCACGTGAACACATAAGATATAGTTGGTTATACCTGCTAGGGACGTGTTTGGTTATATCTACCAGTGTGTTGTAGCTGCCAGTGTGGTGTTTGGTTATATCTAGCAGTGTGGTGCTGGGTTATACCTGCCAGTGTGGTGCTGGGTTATACCTGCCAGTGTGGTGCTGGGTTATACCAGCTAGTGTGGTGCTGGGTTATACCTGCCAGTGTGGTGCTGGGTTATACCAGCTAGTGTGGTGCTGGGTTATACCTGTTAGTGTGGTGCTGGGTTATACCTGCCAGTGTGGTGCTGGGTTATACCTGCCAGTGTGGTGGTGGGTTATACCTGCTAGTGTGGTGCTGGGTTATACCTGCTAGTTATACCTGCTAGTGTGGTGCTGGGTTATACCTGCCATACCTGCCAGTGTGGTGCTGGGTTATACCTGCCAGTGTGGTGCTGGGTTATACCTGCTAGTGTGGTGCTGGGTTACCTGCTAGTGTGGTGCTGGGTTATACCTGCTAGTGTGGTGCTGGGTTATACCTGCTAGTGTGGTGCTGGGTTATACCTGCTAGTGTGGTGCTGGGTTATACCTGCTAGTGTGGTGCTGGGTTATACCTGCCAGTGTGGTGGTGGGTTATACCTGCTAGTGTGGTGCTGGGTTATACCTGCTAGTGTGGTGCTGGGTTATACCTGCTAGTGTGGTGCTGGGTTATACCTGCTAGTGTGGTGCTGGGTTATACCTGCTAGTGTGGTGCTGGGTTATACCTGCTAGTGTGGTGGTGGGTTATACCTGCCAGTGTGGTGGTGGGTTATACCTCCTAGTGTGGTGGTGGGTTATACCTGCCAGTGTGGTGGTGGGTTATACCTGCCAGTGTGGTGGTGGGTTATACCTGCCAGTGTGGTGCTGGGTTATACCTGCCAGTGTGGTGCTGGGTTATACCTGCCAGTGTGGTGCTGGGTTATACCTGCCAGTGTGGTGCTGGGTTATACCTGCTAGTGTGGTGCTGGGTTATACCTGCTAGTGTGGTGCTGGGTTATACCTGCCAGTGTGGTGGTGGGTTATACCTGCTAGTGTGGTGCTGGGTTATACCTGCTAGTGTGGTGCTGGGTTATACCTGCCAGTGTGGTGGTGGGTTATACCTGCCAGTGGTGCTGGGTTATACCTGCCAGTGGTGCTGGGTTATACCTGCCAGTGGTGCTGGGTTATACCTGCCAGTGTGACAATTGGTTGGTTTTATAAATCATATAATAAACTATTTTATTTTAATAATAGCTGTAGTTAAATAATATTAGCAGTAATAATAATGAGAAAATCAGTAGGAGTCATGACTAGGATTCGAACCTGCGCACTTGGTACTCCCAAGCACACACTCTGGACCACTACACCACGAATGACCAGAGTGCACTGGAGATACCTTGAGGTTACCTTGAGGTGCTTCCGGGGCTTAGCGTCCCCGCGGCCCGGTCATCGACCAGGCATCCAGGGATGGTGGAAGGGGGGGGGGGGGTAGTGCATGAAACTCCTGATTGGGCTTCAATGGAAATCTCAGGACCTCTGGGGGATTCAGTTCAATCCCAGGATGCATTGCTTTTATCCCTCTGTCGGGTTCCTACAATGTTCATCTAGTATGTTGCACCATGTTGAGTCTGAGGATCCCGTTGTGTTCGATTCCTCATTGTTGATTTCATTCAAGTTTTGTTTTTAAATACATTTCCCGGCCTCTCTTGTTATTGTCTCCTCTCTGGAAGGTGGACGGTTTCCTGGAAGGTGAAGTTCCTGCTTAATTATGTCTTCTTGTCCTGCATGTTTACTGATGCCAATAATGGAGTTCTGAAGCTCACTGCATGAAGCTAGTTCGTCAGAGTTATTTATTAGGCTTTTGGCATGTGTGTTGGAGCCATTTCAACTCCTGGCATTGTTGCTAGGATACCGAGGTTGCTCCACCATTCTACACATTAGTATTCCATTCATTGTCACTATGGTTTTATGTCTGCTTGTAGTCAGGGATAGTTATTGTGTCTGCTTGTGATCAGGGATAGTTATTGTGTCTGCGGTCAGGGATAGTTGTGTCCCGCTGGGTGACGGACTCCGTCCTCTCCTCCAACCACAGTTGAGATCACCGTCCTTACACTTACCTTTGAATCATTGAACTGGTTTCTTAACTCCTTTAGTTTGTCTCTTAGTACTGTGTCGTTTGTTTTGCTATCGTACTGTGAGGTCGAGGGAGATGTAAACCTGGGTATACCCTCCCAGATGTTGTAGTTTATGTGAACTGAGAATACTCCTCTGGTGCTCAATCTGTGCGATTGTTACGCTTACCAGATTCGGCCTCACATGCTTGAGGTCCACCGTTCGAGTCTCCTAGAGCCCCAGAGATATGTAATCCATACCCTGGAAACACAAACCGAAACTGTCTCTATTTTCCGCTTGTTACAACTTGTAATAAAGTTGTTACATCTTGGCTTAACGTGTTTATGACGTATTAGAACGTTGTTACTACTTGCTATATTAGTTGTTATAACTGGTTAGGTGTTAAAACTTGTTCGAACGTTGTACCAACGTCGTAGTTTCGGTGTGTGTTTGACGGGAAACGGTCTCTTCATAACTTGCAGACCCTCCTGCTGATCTTATATGATGTAATAATATTATAATATTATATTATGTCATCCGTATTTTGTGGTCTTTAATAGACACAGCCACTAAGGGAAGAATTCTTTATCAGCATATTCTTAACTGTTCTCACATTCTTAGTAACCACGCTGATGTTTATATTCTTAAGGGTATGTGATGTTTGTGTGGTGTTTCCAGTGTAGCGAAGAACAGGTATGGGTCTGAAGAACAGGTATGGTTCTGAAGAACAGGTATGGTTCTGAAGAACAGGTATGGTTCTGAAGAACAGGTATGGTTCTGAAGAACAGGCATGGGTCTGAAGAACAGGTATGGTTCTGAAGAACAGGTATGGTTCTGAAGAACAGGTATGGTTCTGAAGAACAGGTATGGTTCTGAAGAACAGGTATGGTTCTGAAGAACAGGTATGGTTCTGAAGAACAGGTATGGTTCTCAAGAACAGGTATGGTTCTGAAGAACAGGTATGGTTCTGAAGAACAGGTATGGTTCTGAAGAACAGGTATAGTTCTGAAGAACAGGTATGGTTCTGAAGAACAGGTATGGTTCTGAAGAACAGGTATGGTTCTGAAGAACAGGTATGGTTCTGAAGAACAGGTATGGTTCTGAAGGACTGATTCTCGCTAAAACAAGGGGTATAAAATGCTAGCATGGCCACCTTTAAATCTGTATCTAGAACAGATTTGGCGAATTGCAATAAATGTTTTATTAAATTTCTTCATCAATAAAATCAGAACGACAAACACTTATAGCCCTAAAAAAAGTACTGAAGAAAATACTGAGCATTTCTTCTATATTTGAGAGTTTAAATAAAAATGCTCATATGGATATACATTTAGAAATTTACTATAAGCAATGAACTTAAAAATCCTCTCCTCTCGAGGAATCAACGTATCCAAAAAGGAAAGGTTCCATTGCTTTCTTTTTCAACTGTGAATTTATTGGAAGGAACAAAAATATTGATTTTTACCAGAAAATAATTGAAGTCTCTAACCTTACCTTGTTTTTAGATATTGATATATAGACAAAATAAAAATGTTGTGTTCAATGTTTATCGGAAACTTTCTGCCGTTTTAAAATGCCAGATCCTAATCTCGATTACAAGTCGCTATCAAAAACGTAGAATTGGATCGAGTAGCGAACTACAACTAGGAGAGTGGACTGGCGTGACAACCTTTGGGAGTCCTTGAGGGAGAAAACAACAGAGTTAACGAGCATTATGTGTAGACAGGAAGTGGGTGATATACACAACACATGTAGCACGGCCACCAACATAACCTCCGTGTACTCTGGACAATGCTGCCCCGGAACTGATCGTTGTCTCTCAAGAAAGAATTAAAACCTTGAAACTATAAAAACAGAGCCATGACGAGCATCACAGTGGCACCTAATGGGGGTGAAAATCTATAATTTATAACTAAAAACAAACCGGGAACCCGTTGAAACTATACAAAAGAAAGAGATTGGATGCAGCTTCCTGAAGAGGCCTAATGGAGAGCACACCTTATCTTGAGAGGTTATCTTGAGACGATTTCGAGGCTTAGTGTCCCCGCGGCCCGGCCCTCGACCAGGCTTCCACCCCCAGGAAACAGCCCGTAGCAGCTGTCTAACTCCCAGGTACCTATTTACTGCTACGTAGTAGCAGTAAATAGGTACCTGGGAGTAATAGTAAATAATAAATAGGTAAATAATAGTAAAATAGTAAATAGGTGCAGGGGCATCAGGGTGAAAGAAATATTTTGACCATTTGTCTCTGCCTCCACCGGGGACTGAACCCGGAACCTCAGGACTACGAATCCGAAGTGCTGTCCACCCAGCTGTCAGGAGCCCTTACCTTACCTTACACAAAGAACTTGATTTAACTGTAGGAGCCTCATAATATTTAGCCGAGACGGTACCTACTGCAATTGGAAAGAGGAAAATGTGCATCTCACAGCTGAAGCTTCTCTTTCTTGTAGGCCATGACTGACAACGTAGCCTGCAACACAGTCACACTAGACTGATGGCTCTTGATCATGTACACTCTCCTAGTGATTCAACTAAACTGCCTTCATATTTCAGCTAAAACCAGAGGTTCGTCTAAATAGGAAGGGGGGGGGGGGGGGGTAAAAATAGCCTAAGCTACTCTATCCCTTTGAGATGTATTTTTTCTTGTCTCAATAAGCAATAAGCATGAACTTGTTCGTCTAGATTTCAAATTTTCTCCAACCTGTTAATCTTTACCATGAATTTTCAGTGCGTTTCGTGTAGAACGCACTGAATGCCACGAGAATATAAAGTAGAAACTACCTGGTTTTCAGCTAATTAAATTTACTGTAAAACTCCTCAGTTTTAACATAAAAATAAACATTTTGTCAACAAGAGCCCTTTACTTCTGTCATCAACAACCCTTCATTACATTTCATTAACTCTTTTAATGCTCATTAACTCAGCATTTCATTAACTCTTGCTGTCTTCCACCCACAAGCCATGCAGTTTCTTCACCTAGAACTCTCATATATTCACACTTAGAACCACTAGTAGCGTCCTCACCTGTAGGAGGCCCAGTAGGCACCTTTCTCGAAGTCTATCATGTCAATTTGGAGTTCGTAGGTTTTCTGGTTGGTGAGGACGTGGAGGAAGTCATTGCCCGCCCAGAACTCCGTCTCCAGGTCCCCAAAACCTGCCTTGTACTCGTGCCAGTCACGGTTGAAGTCCACCTGCAGGGAGTCAGAGGGATCCCAGTCATCTCAACACTTACAATTCCTGTAGGTCTAACTGTATCAGTGAGAAAAGTTGTGGTAATGTATCGGTGTTTTGGTCAAATAAAGAAATCCAAAGACACAGGTCAGTCTTACATGCGTGACTTTTTCCCTATATCGAGTTTGAATGGAATTAAGTTAAAATTTTTGTTGGTTGGGCAGTCATGGTACACCGGCTGGCAGGCCTGTTGTCAGGGCAATTTGCATGCCTGTTGGCAGGACACTTTACCGAGCAATTGGCAGATTAGTTAATCATGCTCCTGGCAGTTTTGCCAGCACCTGCTGCTAGGTTGGTTTGTGTCCACACTCAGAACATGTTGCGCACTCCATAGTCCAGGGGTAGAAGTGTTTTGTTTTGTGTTGATGTTCTCCTCGGTAGAGCTGAATGCTGCCAGTATCATTGTTCTGAGGGAGCTCCTACGCTGATATTCCAACTTTTTGTATTAATTCCTTTTTACGAAAAGCTGCTTTAGTGGCTTTTGTGTTTTTTAGTTTGATGTGAATGGTAAATGTATTTTCTGTCTTGTAAAGCAGTGTGAGTGTCAGCTGTCCCAGATAGTTTATGGAGGGATGACTAGGATAAAGAATGTTGATTTATTAAGATTATTGGTCACGAAAGTTTAACAACCAGGAGAAAATGGGTGCCGAAGGTGACCCACAGTGGTGTAGGCTAACATCTCTCCAACCAAACGTCCCATTTTTACTGGGGGTAGTATTTTGATTCCAGTGTTTTTCTACTCTGGTGCCAAAAAATATTCCCTCTCTCTATGCTGGACACTCATCCATCCAGCACCGGGAGGAATGGCGACCCTTCCTGCAGGTTCCCCTAATTCGTATCCATGATTAGCCTCATCTCTTCCTAGCCACAAATTGTCATATTTGTTGAAGTCCATTTCATCTGGACTTTGGACTCTACTACAGGTCCCAATGCGACCGTCAACATGACCTGCCAGGGTGGTAATGGGGCACTCGAGCCCAATCACCCTGTTAAGGGGGGCTAATCACCCTGTTAAGGGGGGCTAATATGAGGGGAGTAGCGACAATTTACTGGTATGCTCTCCTGGATGTATACAACGACTGGTGTAACCTTGCTAAAAAAAATTATTGGTAAGTATAGGGAGATGTGCAACAGAAGTGTTGTTTGCTAGTTATTAACAACTCTAATACACAATATGCTACATATACTGGACAGTGCTTGTACTCTCCCAGCCTGACATGCACTCACCCAGCCTGACATGCACTCACCCAGCCTGGCATGCACTCTCCCAGCCTGGCATGCACTCTCCCAGCCTGGCATGCACTCTCCCAGCCTGGCATGCACTCTCCCAGCCTGACATGCACTCTCCCAGCCTGACATGCACTCTCCCAGCCTGGCATGCACTCTCCCAGCCTGGCATGCACTCTCCCAGCCTGGCATGCACTCTCCCAGCCTCTCATGCACTCTCCCAGCCTGGCATGCACTCTCCCAGCCTGGCATGCACTCTCCCAGCCTGGCATGCACTCTCCCAGCCTGGCATGCACTCTCCCAGCCTGACATGCACTCTCCCAGCCTGGCATGCACTCTCCCAGCCTGGCATGCACTCTCCCAGCCTGGCATGCACTCTCCCAGCCTGGCATGCACTCTCCCAGCCTGGCATGCACTCTCCCTGCCTGGCATGCACTCTCCCAGCCTGGCATGCACTCTCCCAGCCTGGCATGCACTCTCCCAGCCTGGCATGCACTCTCCCAGCCTGGCATGCACATAATACAGAGCTACACACCTGCTCGACGACCTTGGCTCTGCGTTGGATGACCAGCCAGCCTCCAAGACCAGTCTCCATGTCGCACAAGACCTGCCGGCCGAATTTCTGCAGGTAGTAGACACCTGAAGCGTTGAAGCCCAAGTCGTAGAGGTCCTGACAATCCCCGGCCGCCAGATTGACCGACATCTGGCCAAGCTTGGCCACCTGGTTCTCCATCTGCTTGACTTTTTGCTCCACGAAGACTTTCACGTCTGAAAGTTTAGCCAGGATCAGGTCCTGGAATGCCTGGAGTTCGACTTTGGTGGCGTCGGCGCCATTGTTGACAGTCTCGCGGACGGCTAAAGCTTGCTGGTTGGCAGCCGTCAAGGACTCGCTAATCTCCTTCATGGCTTCCTTCAGCTCGGCCAGTGACTCGTCCTTGGCCGCTGTGGCCTCTACGCGGCCGATGGCCTGAAGGAGGAGTTGGGTCGTATTGACAAAGAGGTTCTTAAACATCCTGAAGTCGTACTCCCCGATGACGTCCTCGAGTTTGGTCTCCTCGTAGGTGTGGGCGACGACCAGGAGACTGAGCACGACGAGGGCGACCCACGTCCCTCCCATGGTCAAGCTCGAGGGCGTATATGTACCTGCGGAGGAACTATATGTTAGTTTCTGGAAGAGCGTGGGCCTTTTCGTTCAGTTGTTAATTAAGGTCAGCTTGATACTCTGAATGTAATCCTTGATCGTGATCCGACAAGCGGTAATGTTGATTCATCTCCTACTCCATCAAGACTGCCTCACCTCTGATTGCCGGCATGAAAGGCAGGCATTCAAAAATATAGGCAAGCAAGCAGTCAGGCTGACAGGAAGGTCTGCAGGCAAGGAGGCAACAAGGTAGTGTAACAGTGGGACTGTTAATATAGAGAGACCATAGATTTAACATTAAAAGTTGGTCGTGACCTGACAGGCCTGAGCTCTAATCCCTTCCCCAAGGGATTAGAGCTCATTGTACAGCAGCGCCACAGGGACCTTGTGTCGCGTCATCAAACTAGGAGAAGAAGTCATGTATTAAAGAATTAGTAGGAATAATCAATCGTGGTTAAGCACTTATGTTAAAATTAACATCAATTGAGAATAATGAATAAGTCTTGTATGTTATCAAAGAGGCATTTGACGTCTGTTAGATTTGAAAATATGTAAAAAGTATTTCGTCACTGGAAAATAGGTACCTACCAACTTGTTTGTTAAATCATGTAAACTAGTGAAATACAAGTGCTACTGAACATTGTAATTAGCCTGGCTCGAGTAGCTAGATAATTCCCATTTGTTTTGGAATTAGAAGTCATCTTTAGTGACGAATACAGGATATTAGTAGTAATCATCTTCAAAGATTAATCTGGCAACTAGCCAAGGGTCAGCCTGTGAGAGGTCAGTAGAGGAGAGGTGAGTCAGTGTGGCAGTGTATCAACTGGGGTCAACATCTCTCCCGGGAGCCACGGCAGAACATCGAGGTCTCGCTGTGGTATTTTAAGGACTTGCCCGAAACGCTACGCGTACTAGTGGCTGTACAAGAATGTAACAACTCTTGTATATATCTCAAAAAAAAAAGAAAAAAAAAGAAAGGAAGGAATTAAATTCCAATTTATTCCCAATCAAGTATATATCTATAAATGAAAAAATGTCTGTGTGTTCGAGTGTTGGAGGCCAGGCTGTCGGAGGGGTTAGTTTCACCCAACTTTGCACCTTGACTCATGCCGGTTATATGCCAAACAAGGTCAGGTGCGAGTTGTAGAAAGGGAGAGAAGTGCCGCTTAACGTGGTGCCAAACGGACCCCTGCTACTATTCTCGCAATTTCATATTAACAGCATTCCGGATTACTTTTTCCTTTCTGTTATTATTTATATAATATAAAACATTATTAATTGATATCTGCAAATTTAATTTCAGTTTTTAATTGCATATTTAATTTGGTGTTATGAAATCGTACACAAGACGGTTCGACAAACTTCGTTTTCTATCAAAACCTTAAATGTCTTTAGGTTAGAATGCATTAGCTAAGGTTGAGCTGCTGGTCTCATCTGGGTTAGGCTAGGTAGGTTTGGGTTAGGTCAGGTTAGGTTTGGGTTAGATTAGGTTAAGTTTGGCTAGGTTTGGTTAGGTTAAAGTTAGGTTAGGTTAGGTTTTAAAATCCGCTGGCGAGCCGTTTTAAAACTGTACAATGTGACTCCCATCCTATACCCCCAATTCTTTGACATAATTCAAGATTAATTTAATTTAAATGAGTATAGGTAGAAAGTAGTCCATTGTATTGTATTAACATTGTCTTTATTGATTGTCTTTGTTACTTTTGTGTTAGGAGTTTAGATTCGTATATAATTAACTTTTTAAACATCTGGCATTCCTGGTGGTGAACAACCCGGAGATTAACTACACATCTAGCACTGATATTTTATATATTTGCCAGGAATGGAACGGCTGGCCAATGATTACGTTTCCTGTGGTGGATGGCGACTTTCTTCCCGCCCATCCGGCCCTTCTGATGAGATCTGGCAACTACAGTCATGTGGACGTCATCACCGGAGGCGTCCGCCATGAGGGCTCTGTGTTTAGTCTGAGTACGAAATGTCTAGGGGGGAGCCCACATGTCCTGCTACAGGAAGGACAGTTCTGCTTTTTGAGCACCCTGTCCTGCTTTTGAGCACCCCTGTCCTGCTTTTGAGCACCCTGTCCTGCTTTTGAGCACCACTGTCCTGCTTTTGAGCACCCCTGTCCTGCTTTTGAGCACCCTGTCCTGCTTTTGAGCACTCCTGTCCTGCTTTTGAGCACCCTGTCCTGCTTTTGAGCACCCCTGTCCTGCTTTTGAGCACCCTGTCCTGCTTTTGAGCACCCTGTCCTGCTTTTGAGCACCCCTGTCCTGCTTTTGAGCACCCTGTCCTGCTTTTGAGCACCCTGTCCTGCTTTTGAGCACCCTGTCCTGCTTTTGAGCACCCTGTCCTGCTTTTGAGCACCCCTGTCCTGCTTTTGAGCACCCTGTCCTGCTTTTGAGCACCCCTGTCCTGCTTTTGAGCACCCTGTCCTGCTTTTGAGCACCCCTGTCCTGCTTTTGAGCACCCCTGTCCTGCTTTTTGAGCACCCCTGTCCTGCTTTTGAGCACCCCTGTCCTGCTTTTGAGCACCCCTGTCCTGCTTTTTGAGCACCCTGTCCTGCTTTTGAGCACCCTGTCCTGCTTTTTGAGCACCCTGTCCTGCTTTTGAGCACCCTGTCCTGCTTTTGAGCACCCTGTCCTGCTTTTGAGCACCCCTGTCCTGCTTTTGAGCACCCTGTCCTGCTTTTGAGCACCCTGTCCTGCTTTTTGAGCACCCTGTCCTGCTTTTGAGCACCCTGTCCTGCTTTTGAGCACTGTCCTGCAACCTGCGACACATTAAGAAGGATGCTAATTTGCCCTACTTTTTGGGGGCTTGTCTAAAAATAATGATATAAATTGCATGGCTTAGACTGGAACAATGGGACACTTGGGGAAATGAAGGCCAATGTACCCACTTACATATTTTTACTATAATTTTATGAAGTTACAGTTGGCAACACTACAGACGGAGCCTCAGTGTCGTGTGCAAAACGAGTCACGCTGTCACTAGAGTACCTGTCAGATCACAATGAAATCCCAATGACATACAGTCGCCACTCTCTTGCGCCCCACAATGATTGTGAGCCAGAGTGTAAACGTCATTCACCTGGGCGTAGAGTGTAAACGTCATTCACCTGGGCGTAGAGTGTGAACGTCATTTATACGGGCCAGTGTGTGATCGGGTTGACCATAAAACTCTGGTTCGGCTTCAGTTCAGGACCTGCAGAAGCTCCTAGTGAATTCGGTAGGGGTTCCGGGTTATTCGACTTTTGTACCGTCGTGAGCGAGGGGGGTTAAGTCAGGTGTCTGGGAATCACCAGATCGTGAGTTCAAGTCACTCCATTGTCTCAAAATGATTTTCATTAATATATTATGCCATTGTGATTAATAATCCTGAAATTATATATTTTTATAACAAAATTCTTATGAAATGATAAATCTTTCCATTATAGGATGTATGATTTTATATTTTTTGAGTTAAACTAACGTATAAATTTGACAAAACTTAATCTACCTAACCTAACCTACCTTTCAGAACAGTCTCAGTTTCAGTTTTGAAATAGTTCAGTTCTGGTTTCATAACAGAGCGCTGTTGCCTATCGCAGTTGCTGGACCACTATGACATGGCCTTAGATGCCATGGAAGACAAACAAAATGCTGATGTAATTTACAGACTTCGCAAAAGCCTTCAACAAATGTGACCATGGTGTTGTTATTGCACACAAAATGCGTTCAAAAGGAATTACCGGAAAATAGGCAGATGGATCTACAATTTTCGTAGATCTACGAGATCTGGAAATGGTCACCCTAGAAGTGCCTCATATCATCATATGAAATTGGTCATTTATAATTGTCATATGATGGACGTTTGATAATATTAACTGAATATATAACTGCACGCATCTATTAAAAAGTAACTATTTTCTGTCATTGTAAACTAATCTAATTTTATGTATCCACAGGTATTCTATTAAATAAAAATGTAAAAAATCAGCTGGAGGAAAATTTTACCACAGCGGGGCCGATATCCCTGTCTTTTGGCGAGTGGGAATCGAACCGCGTGTACCTGACTAAGCGTGTCTATTACCACTACCTGGGCGAGCCAAAGATCACAAAGGACAATGCTCAAGAGTTCACTCAGGTGAGTGAGTTTGCTCATTCGAGAATGAAAGGTTTGTTGATCTAGCAATATCCTTGGTGTGGTGTTGTGTTTAAAGTCTATTGATATCGTGAGAGTTACTCAGGCCATTACTCTGGCTTACTGATCCGCCAGAAAGTATATAGTTTAGTCCTGAGGTCTAGTCAAGCACAAAAGGAAACTGGGTATATATACACTTAGAAATAGGGCACACTTTCTGGGGTATATACCCCTGGGCGTGATATTTTAGGTATTTTATCGCCCGAGTTTCTATAGTTGTCTAAGCCCTGACAATACATGTGCTCTTGGATTCTCAGCTTATTGTTGTTTTAGATTCAGCTACTAGGAACAAAAAGTTCCAAGTAGCACGGGCTATGGTGAGCCCGTATGCTATGGATTTGTACAGATATTATAAAAGGATGTTTTAAATCTTAAGCTATATTTTTTTAAAAGTTAGTTCCAGATGTCTCATCAGCTCGTCTCCGTTTTTTTGTTGTCAACGTTACCCCTCCTGTTGGACCTGTTTCTTTTCACCACCTTCCTTTTTCTGTACGAATGTCTCGCTTGTAAGATTCTCTCTAAGTTCTTGTTACTAATGAACAAATCCACAAGGGCCGTGACGAGGACGGTCTTTGTGGATTTGTTCATTTGATGCATCACGCTATTATGATTTCTGTGTTCTTGTTACTAATATTTCTCCCGGTGTCTTTCTAACCTTGCCCCCCATGGAGGGTCCCTCTTCCAAAGTTTTGCAAAATCTTGACCCACATGGGAAAGGCTTCTACCACCTCCCACAGTTCTGAAATGCCTTTTCCTTGCCTACTTGGCTTCACACTCCCACTCCATTGCTGTGTGTCACGCCTGAGAGTGTGTGGTCATGAATTTTAAATGTTGTCTAGGGAAATAGATGATTTTACTTGTGCCAAGGGGTATTCAAGTAGTAGGGAAACAGCCAAGAACATGAAACAAAGATTTATATGTATAAGACGCACTATATAACATATGGCAATTGTGGGAAATTTTTACTCACCATATCTAATAATCATCTAAGAAATGTATTATTTCTGTATCATATCTATATCATATCTAAATAGTATCAAAATCATGTCAAATCATATCAAAATCATATTAGAATCATTATAGATTCATTATACATCTTGATCCTAGATGACAATGTCACTATGATCACGTATGCCATAGGGCCCTATAGATGCCTATGTGACTTTGTGCATGATCTCTCAAGGATCCAGAAGCTTCTAGAAGGAATTCTTAATTAAAAAACTATTGGAACATTGATCGCTTCCGGTAGGGATTATAAATCGAATCCTTAATAAGAATCGGTGGTACTATCAAGTACTACTTATAATCTTTATATCCTATATCTAATTATATTATAATCACATCTTATCTCAATCATATGTCTAGACAGTAAAAATAATCAATCAATATTCATTGAAAGCTACCCCTCTCAAGGGAGAGGGAGGGGCATCTCGGGAACAAGAAGCCTCCGTGGTGAGACTCCGTTGACAGTCTCCGTGGTGTAGTGGTAAGACACTTGCCTTGCGTTCCGCGAGCGCTATGTCATGGGTTCGTATCCTGGCCGGGGAGGATTTACTGGGTGCAATTCCTTAACTGTAGCCTCTGTTTAACGCAACAGTAAAATGTGTACTTGGATGAAAAAACGATTCTTCGCGGCAGGGGATCATATTCCAGGGACCTGCCCGAAACGCTACGCCTACTAGTGGCTGTACAAGAATGTAACAACTCCTGTATATATCTCAAAAAAAACAAAAACAAAAAAAAACGCCCACCACACCCCGCGGCACTACGCATTTGTTTACAACACAGTGAACAAGTGTGACGGATTCTTAGCGAACATTACTAGCTCAGGACACCTTATCTAATATCTTTATCACCAGTGAACACTCTCTAGAACTGGGGGAGTACCTGGACAATATATCTACAAGGAAAATCCCTAGAACATTTATATCTATACGTGTAGAGTGAAGCACACAGTGACTTGTCTCCACCTTCATCATCAACTATCATCCTTCTGCAACGCAGTTTAAAGTAAAATCACATAGCAACGCTACAACAACAATCTACAGCAAAGCTGTTATATAAAATATCGTGCCTAAACTCGCGACAAGAGTTATCAAATATGGCACACTGTCAGACAGGCACCCGGCAAGCAGAGAAGTATATTGAGGTTATTTTGGTATATTATTTGGCCAATTGTATGCTTGTATGACTTTAATATCCTATAAGTCTGTCTGTCGGTTATAAAGCGAGGCAACGCCTCATATCTCAGTAAGTTTATTAATATTGTAGTGCAGCAGTTGAATCTTTAAGCACCAAACCTCATGAGTGTCCATGGTGTAAGAAAGATTTTCAAGGTAAACAACACTTCATGAGTGTCCATTGTGTGGGAAAAGATTCAACAAGCTGACAGTACCTTATCATATAAATTGAATATAAATACATTGTACATATACTTGAATATATAAATTAAGTTAACAATTGCTTGCTTAGTTATTTTTTAAGTTATCATATAAGTTCATTTAATTGAATATAATTTCTAGTACTTAGTAACAGTACTTAGACTACATTTAGTCATTTATCATACTTTTACAATTTAAATTGTTGTTTATAGTATAAGAATATATTGGCTGTTAATAGTTATGGTGCTAGGCCAGACTATGTACATGTTTAAATCTGATTTAAACAGAGCCAGTGTTCAGTCATATAACTGAATTTATTAGATCTGCTGATTTATAAGAATCTGCTAGATTAAGGACCTGCCCGAAATGCTGTGCGTACTAGTGGCTTTACAAGAATGTAAATACTGTACTATCCAATGTATTCTCACAAACCCAATGTACCTTCTTGTATATAAATAAATAAATAAATAAATAAATTAAATCTTATCCTTGTATAAAATACAAGCTGATGTAAGATACCTGTTGGCAGGTGGACTGTGGATCTTCAATCAACCTATCAACTAATTCATTCACCCCACCTGCCCCTTACAGCCCACAATCTGTCATTAGGAAAAGAGGAGCTAGGATTTACGACCCTAGCTAGAGATTTGAGTTGAATTAATTTGCAGACAGTAAATTTTAATTTAGTTCAGTACAAGTCCCTGGTAATTCTCCTCTCATATCAATCCCAGCAGGTTTTTCCCACAGCAATAATTGTACTCCAAGGTCAATCTCAAGGTAACAACTTGGTTAATAAAACTCTCAAACGGGCTCTGAACACTATAGCTCTTAGTCCCAAAACTGGAACTGTGCACACAGCCACCACACCTGTCAACCGGTGACACACATATATAAACCACTAGGAAACCTGGACTCTCTCAGCACCGCTCCTGTGCCAGGTAAGTCCATTACAGGCTCACCATAGCCCGTGCTACTTGCCTCGCTCCTGTGCCAGGTAAGTTACGGGCTCACCATAACCCATACTGCTTGGAACTTGTTCCAAGTAGCTGAATCTATAACAACAACAACCTGGACTCTCTCACAAAACAGCTTTATAGACTACCTGAGTACTCTACCCTATCTTACAATCCTGTTAACCACTATACTGCGCAACGCGCCTGTAGGCGCTCTACGGGTGGTGCGCAACGCGCCACCCGTTGGTTTGAATCATACGCTATACCTATAAGGAATCGTATAGGTATAGCATATGATTCAAATCCAACATGACTGTGGTGGATATGTGGGCCTGCGGCTGCTCCAAGCAACAGCCTGGTGGACCAAACTCTCACAAGTCAAGCCTGGCCTCGGGCCGGGCTTGGGGAGTAGAACAACTCCCAGAACCCCATCAAGCAGGTATCAGCAGGTATCCTGCAACTTTGATGGTGCTACATAGTCTCCCCGGCTTGGTGCCTTCTTTTGATAATTACTTACTTGTGGAATACTAAACCACACACCCCTGAAGGACAGCAGAGCCAGGAGGTATGATCACAACATACAGAATACTGAGGGGGATAAACACGGTAGACAGAGACAGCCTCTATAAAGTAAGATAAAGTAGGACGAGTGGAACATAAGTAGATGGTAGAAACGAAAATGAGTCAAAGAAATACTCGTATCCAGTACGGGTAATCAACAAGTAGAATGCATTGAAAGAAGAAGTTGTGGAAGCCACCTCCATCCACAACTTTAATGCCAGATTCGAACAACGAATTCAAAACATCAAAATAGTTAGACTAACACAACAGGTACAACTAGGCTAGTAAGCGGAGCTCGAGGAGCCACACCTCCCTCCCTAATAGTCATTGATAGGTCAGCATATACTTTATACACAATATAGTAGTATGTTTCTCACAATAAATACACAGAAAAGAACAAGTCAGTAGGTCGCTCATAGTCTTGAGGTCTGCTCGAGATGCCTAATGGACGTTAAGGTATCATTAGAGCAGATCTAACATAAACAACATTAAGTCAAACTTAGCGAGTAGTCTTCCGTAAACAAAGAGGTACATGACCCAGGATATAGAATAACGCGGTTTTCTTTCGTAGATGTTAACCGACATATCCTTTGGAGCGGCCCAGGAGATAATGAGTGAGCTGCACACCGCCCACGGGGCCGCCCACGGCATCAACGTCTTCAAGTACCTCCTGCAGCATCGTGGGCAACACGGGTCCTCTGACCTCTACGCCCGCAAGTATAACGCAACCCTCCATAAGGGCTGTAAGTTGATTTATGCATTAACTGTTCATGAGAAATACACCGCTTGGGGAATAAAAATAATACTGGGTGACATGAGTCAAGTATGTGGGGATGATGAGTCAAGTATCTGGGGATGATGAGTTAAGTATGTGGGGATGGTTTGCCACCTGTCATCTCAAATAATTCGTCGTAATTTTGATGCCAAAATCTCCAACGGACAAAATATGGTCTACAATGAATCATAACGGCTCACAAACACTCCCGTCCTCTCGAGCGCTCCCAACGTCACTAAACTGATGTACTAAATTGTCCGAACCTAACTTAACCGAGGACCCGCGAACAGAAAACGCGACATCACGTCGATTTTGCGAGCGGCTGTGATTTATACAGACCTTCCTACAGTGTACACAGTACTAACAGTAACCATGTTGTCCACCGTACATATACTGACGTAATGGACAATTGGAAAGTAGAATTTGGGACAATTGAATTTGTACAAATAGGAAAAGATTTGTTGACCAAACTACACACTAGAAATTGAAGAGACGACGTCGTTTCGACTTGATAAAGGTCCAGGACAAACTGAAACGTCGTCATCTCTCCAATTTCTAGTGTGTAGTTTGGTCTACATTTTTTCAGCCACGTTATTGTGACTTCATCTTCACAGGGAAAGATTTTGTATTTGTTGCTAATAAAATCCCTAATGTAACGACGACCAGGGGTTGGCCACGGCGACGACCTTCAATATCTGTTCAACGCGGAGCCTGGCGGCAAGTCGTCCCTCCAGCGGCCCGACGACCTCTTCATGAGCCACACCTTCGTCACCCTGTGGACCAACTTTGCCACCACTGGGTAAGACCAACCCTTCTGAAGCTTACCTTATCCCGCGGAGGTCTTTTACCCTCCAGAGAATGGTTCTTTGAGAAAATATTGCAGCCGCCCGAGGGACCGAACCCGATGGGGATCAAAAGCTTCAATGTTTCCCCCATAGATATATCACGTTCTTGTCCATTCTTCTTGTTCTGCCCCAAACCTTGAGTTTGGGGCAGGATGAAAACTGGATATACACTGTTCAAAATGTATATTTGAAATGTTGTTGTTGTAAAAATTGACGTTTTTGCTTTTAACAACACTTTAATGCGCGCGCGCCCCGTGAAAAAAAACTAGTGCATTGTGCGCGCGGCGTTTTGGGCTCTTGAGCGTAAACACCAAAAAGTGTGTAATCTTTTCACTGTCCTGACACCAATTCTCGAGCTACGTATTTTACTTTGGTATCAATGTGTTGGTAATAAAATTCTCTACAAGATCATATGTATAACATGTCACCAAAGCATTAGCTATCCCACCACGAAATATATAAAACGTAGATCACTCGCCGTGACGCCCAAACAGCAACAAAATGTTCATACTCTTTTGTTTGTTGTCAGCTCCACATTAGTCCTACAGCGTTATATTTTATATCACTGAACTCGCAATAAAATTCCCTACACAGACATATGCATATAAATGTAGAATCATTATCGCGGTCCACACCAAGAGTGTGCGAAGTGGGCGATAACCCTCGTTGTGTCAACAACTCAATAGTCACTCCTCTAAGTTACAATACAATGCCGTTTTCTCAAATAGGCCATGTGCCTATTAGAAAAAACGGAAATTTAATGGCAAACATTTTCATACTAACCCCAAGTCGATGGTCGACAGGTGAGTCACCTGTCGACCAAGAGTACGACATGCTTGTCACCTCGCTCACTGTTGTGACCCAAAGGAATATGGATAAATTAGATTATCTCTCAAATCTATGAGGAGGCTGAAGTGGGTATGAGTGTGAATAGGCTGAGTATAAAGTACATTCTTGGCAAAGACATCTTGGATACCAGATTGTCAAAATCTGCCGGAGTATCCGCCAGTTGTATGAAGATAGGCGGCAGCTTCCGTCACTCCAGCGGCGACCAGAAACTACAGTCGGAAACGGACTTGGAAGCAACTGCATAATTTGTTGTGTGTGGAGGGCCAGAGGGCATATCACAGATGTGGAATTGAAGATGAAATTTTGGCTCGAACAAATGAGGGCGGGCAGTTGTGTTCTGCGAGCAGCACTGGGCAGTTGCAACCAGTGGGAGTCATGGACACATCAGGAGGATGACATATTGCATATGGTAGGCCTCACTCACTGATAGCGGTTTAGACCTCTAGTGGAACATATGAGTATTTTGAGTAGCATATTTGTGTGTTATAAAGTGACCTAACATTTGCCAGTAATCCGAGAGAAAATGTTAGTTATTCGTATTTCTTTGGGTCACAACACTGTGATGGTCGCCAGGTGAGTTATAATATATAATATAATATATATTATATAAAATATATATAGCATATAATATATATTATATATACACACCGGCTTCCTGTCCCCCGATAAAACGAATTATTATTATATATTGAATCATCATAAGACTTCAGTATAAGGAATATGAACTGAATTGCATAAATTGAATTCCATATGTATTTTAATGTGGTTCCTTGGGGGCGAGCCTAAGACTGCTCCCAGAGTAACCGATAATCCGCATGCTTCCGGACTAGCCACTTAGAGAGCCGCACTGGCCACTCAGGGAACCGCACTAGCCAATCAGGGAGCCAGTTTATATGATAAAGTGTTATGTTTATTTCTTCAGGAAATGGAGTTCTATAGAAACTTACCAACGAAGATGAACATATTGTTATATCCTGATCGCTTCGTGGTCAACAACACCTCTCCGACAGTTTGAAGTCTGTGGACGCTGCTAGTGGCGTACCGTCAGTCAGGACGCTGCTAGTGGCGTACCGTCGGGGAGGTAGCAATCCTGGCTTTACCTTCTTGTACTGCCATCCAGCAGCCTCAGAACGCCAATATTCCATGAACGGCAACAAACTTTAGTAGACCTGATGCAACGTGAAATCCACACGTTGGATTGAATCCCGAATAATACTATGATGATTCTATGGTCATAATATTATGCAAGGGAGAGCCACATAGCTCTGGGTCAGCCAGCAAGGTCAGCAAACCTGTAGACGCCATCACTGATAGGCTTAGGCTCGGCTACAAGTACCCCTCCTGGGAGTTTGTACCGCCTGCTGAGGTAGCCTAAGATATTCTATCCTTTGAGATATAATTTATTGTCTCAATAAACGTACTTGAACTTGTAGATATAACCCACATGTAAACTCTGTCGGAAGAACTAATCGCTTACCCCTATGTCATTATGTAAGTTAATGTGAAAAAAGATAGCAAACTTTAGAGAAAATTCTATAACATATGTTCAAGAAATGTGCAAGTGTTTATTTAAAATTGATGTATTACCCGAAATCTCAAGTTTGCTTACTGTAGGTAGTGCTTGCCCATGATTGTAAACTTTCCACCACTGGTTCAAAAGCAAATCAAATCATGTGTCATTAGCTCACCATGAATGTAAATTACTTACCTTAGGCTGTTGTGAAACGATTCTTGAAATCATACTCCATATGTTAAAATGTGTAAATTAGCTTATCAAGACTGTAACTTACTTAGTCAAATAAATATTAGAGTTCAGTTCCTGAGCACATCCTGTGCTTCTTGACAGTATCCAGAGAGGGTCAAATCCTCCTCATGGCTGATTTTCTCATTGATACAGCACGTTAATGTGATTTCTTTGTTGCATTTGATGTGTGAGTTGGGATTTAGGGGAAAGGATGAACTCCAATACCTCACCAGAGTGGCAGTATGTGCTAGATTCTGGCCGTTTCTTATGTTTAGGTTAAACAAAAAATATGCACCAGCCTAACCCATCACCCCAACATTGTAGAATGTTCCGGGATAAGACGCCGCTGGTCTTCAACTACAGTAATTTTCGTTACAGTGAGCTTGTCATACTTTTTTTTAAATTTAAAATGATTGCTATCGCGGCGAATCCCTAAATCAAGCCATGTTCTACACAATGTAGGCATGAAGTCTTTCGCTAGCCAGCTGAGGAGGGCAGCTTTGTGAGCTGCCTTTATCTTGGGTGTTTGATCTACACTGCGCAATCTTTCTTTCAGGTATTTTCTCCCCTAATTCCATGTATGAGTAACCTTCCTGTGAGATGGGAATATTAGATGAACTTATAGCTAGTTTTTGATCTACACTGTGTAATCTTTCACATAGAATAGGTTAGCAGCACATTTCTGTGTATACCAAAGTTTGTTAATAAAAAAATCTTATAGGTGCAAAGTGGTGAGCCCATTGTTGATGTGACGATGAGCATTGAGTTTTATAACTAGCTCAACATGATTGTAACTTGCTTAGCTAAATGTAGTGTGGGGTTCATTCCCTGAGCCCATTATGTGCCTCTGTAACCTTTTTTTCACTACCGGCCACAGGATGGGAATGGGGTGCATAATAAACTAAACTAAACTAACTAACATTGAGTGTTGAATCCTTATACTTTCTTTTTCTGTTCGTTTAGCAGTAAATAGGTACCCGAGTCATTCACAATCGACTTCAGAATGGTCCAGGACGGACCGAAACGTCGTTGTCCCTTCACTTTCTAGTGTGTAGTTTGGTCAACCTGAGATCGAGTTAGTCGACTGCTGTGGGGTTTAATGGATATTCGTTAGCAATGACCATTAGACTGTTGTTGTTGTTGTTTTAGATTTAGCTACTCAGAACGAAATTTCTTGGCCTATTCCTAGACAAGAGACTCAACTTCAGTACCCACATACAACACATAACTAAGAAAGTCTCTAAAACAGTTGGTATACTCTCCAAAATCAGATATTATGTACCTAACTCTGCTCTCATCTCACTATATTATGCACTAATCTATCCCTATCTTAATTATGGTATCTGTGCATGGGGGTCAACTACTGCAAACCACCTCAAGTCCATCATCACCCAGCAAAAATCTGCTATCAGAATAATAACAAATTCTGCTTTCAGACAACACTCAGCCCCCTTGTTTAACTCCCTAAACATGCTAAACATAATCTCACTCCACACATTCTCTTGTGTCAACTACATTTACAAAACCCTGTTCTTAAATGGAACCCTGCTCTGAAACTCTTCCTGGACAGATGTAATAGGACCCATTATCACCACACCAGAAATAAATATCTCTTTGATATCCCCAGAGTCAAACTTATCTGTGCAAACACTCTATGCAAATAAAGGGACCTAGTCTATTGAACTCTTTCCCTAATGAATTGAAAAGCTGTCCAACTTTTGCGTCATTCAAACACAAAACTAAAAAATACCTAATTTCATCTTCATAGTTTTCTACCTTGTTGCTTTAAAATTGCACTGTATCTAGTGCTACCCAATCCAAACAACTTTACCATTGTGATCATTGCTGTCTTCTTATATGTGCTTTCAATTTGCTGTATGGACCTATTAATCTTCGTTTAAATTACCAATCAAGCTGTCAATACAATCAATCAGAGATTTAATATACCTACTAATCTCTCTCATCTCATTTTTTTCTTTCTTGCAATGTATCTGTTTTCATTTTATTAATTCCGCTAGAATTTACCTACTTAAAATTATCTGTTAGATTAAGGACCTGCCCGAAACGCTGCGCGTACTAGTGGCTTTACAAGATTGTAATCACCATGCTATGTATTCTCACAAACCCAATGTACCTTCTTGTATATAAATAAATAAATAAATAAATAAATAAAATGTCCATAGAGCACGGGCTATATATAGTGAGCCCGTAAACCCATAGATATAAATGATAAACACATTTAACGTGACAAACATCACCCCTAAAGGTCTGAGGACTGGGACCCCGACACAACACGGCTGATCTCAATATGAACTTTAATATACTGAATAAATTGGAATATATTTAATGCGTTTTATAGGAGACA